TTTATTGCAATATGCGACTTGGGTATAGTTCGGCCTAGTCTCTTGCTATTTTTCTTTTATCTCTCGAAGATACACGTGACTAATTTCCTTACCATTTATAATGACACATGCAGCTGACCAAATGTTGACACGTCTTCGTATGAACGAAGCTCACTTAAGCCGAGTATACAAAAAATTGGAATTCTTTGAAACTAAAATTGATGATTATGAAGATCATATTGATGAATATGAAAGTTTCGTCGAGGAGTTAAGAGTGTGGAACGAGAAACTATCGAGAGAATTTGATACAGGAATGAAAATTGTAATTGGTCGATTGGACGAAATCGGTGAAAGAGGTATGTCTTTTTATTTTCTTGTGCGACGGTAATGTTTAACCGGTTTTTTCAGTCCTAACCTATTAATGTAATTTCATTTATTTGATTGGACTCTTAGCTGAAAGTCGGAAGCGAGAGAATGAATAGGAGTTTGGCCGTACGGGAGAAATAGTGGACGAAGATATGGATTGAATGATGAATTTCTGCCAGTTTTGGGTGCAATTTTTCAATCCTAAATTCTTCGACTCAAGAAAAAAATTTTAATGGATTATAAATAGCATTTATTTTATAGGAAGAAAGTGGCAGATAAAAATAGTCACTTGAACCTCAGTCATGAAATCATTTTCGCTTCAAATTATATAATTACTTTGATATTGGATTCATATTAGACATTCACACTTCTTTTTTTGTTACACCACTCCCGTAAAATTATCAAAGAAAACTATGATAAATCTATTAAATAATATTTTCGTTAGCACGAAAATTATAATTAAGTAGACGTGTAAATAAAAAATAATCGATAACGTAAAGTAGCTAATTAGATATTATAATAAAAGATTGAAAAAATGCAAATAGATATGTTTTATTAATAGTATTATAAACAAATTTTTACATTTTATATACTGTAATTTAGAAAGTAGTTTTATATAATTTTTTTTTTTTTTTAGCTTGCAGTCAGGTTAACATGGTATGCCTTT